CAGCTACAGATGATGACTTAATCCTGGAACTAAAGCTCCATGCATAATCTGTGGTTGCTGCATTCTTGTCTCTGGAGCCTGCATGACCAATCGCGAGAAGATTGGCTAGGCGCAATCAATTTAACAACCGTGTGCGGATCATTGATGCTAGTTTCTGACAAGTGTCACACGTTAACACTGAGGGTATCCAGTGTTCGTGAAAGTTCAGCCTGTTAACCCAGCTGTCTTATGATACGGACGTTGCACGCCGCCAGAAGAATGGGGCAGCTTTTTCTATACAGTGTTTTTGCTGGTAAGAGTCTGATAGGTACAGTGGGAATATAGCTGATGACAGTTTTAGTAGGGCTGCAGCTGCTGTTGTGTACACGGGTGTAGATTTACAGTGGATTATAGCAGGTTATAGGGGAAGTAGGTAGAAAAGGAAAGAAGGGTGGCCTTGGCAGTGGCATGTTTTCTTTTATCCGCCATATGAAACCGCGCGACGACCAGTGCGGGATAAGGCTGGAGTTGTAGGAGAGAATTTTGGTTGTCTGGTGGCTGCGATACCATGGGAACTCCAAACCTGGACAGGATAGCTACCCTGGAATCGAACCCAGATCCACTGTCCCACATTACAAAACCACTTAGATCCCGGCGTGAGAATGAAAGGGGTAAGTACAGCACCCTCTTAAGGAGCAATATTATAGATAATTCAGAAAATAAGCCAGTTTTTACAAGAGCCCTACACAGCACAGCAAACAGATGTGATCGACCAAATCACAACGGGTCTCCGAGACTCCTCGGAGCCCGTTTTTAGTATTAGCGGAGCGAAAATGTGTAACCAGTGCGCCTTCTTCCGGTGTATAAACCAACGTGGCCCGCATTTATCGCGAGTCACTAACTTCTGTTAGTATGCGGTATTGACGGATCTCGCCCTTGAAGTTGTTCCAGATCCTTTTCATATATAAATACCCAGTGGGAACTTAGTTTAACTCAGCTGGACACTGATTGCTGTTGCCTAGCCATCGCCGGCGCAGTAAGTCTACCCCGTTGGGACCCATGTACGGAAAATTCCAGTGGCCCACAACGCTGAATGCAATGGCGCAAAACTGGATGCAGTAGAAACAATGCACGCTATCTGTTTACATTATCGATATTGGCGCACAACATGCAATTTCTCACTATTTCGAGATCTGCAAACTTAGTGTGCTAGCGAAAAATCCCTCGATTATATTGCAAATTCCTATCGCAGAAACTCACCGGATCATTAATTTGAAACACGACATGCTAATTGTTAGAGATGGGGAAACACTCTCAGATTATATTGATGTCTGGCGATTTTCCGGTATCAGAACCGCAGAAGTTGATCATAAGAATGTTCTTCAAGGGAATCCCCTTTTCCATTTGGCAATGTGGACATTGGGAGGTTTTGAGTTTGCATCCTTTCAACAGTCAGCTGTCATACGTGCCTTAGATGGGAACTCCAGACAACCCTTCGTGACCAAGCCACGGTTCAAGCATGTTCCTAGTGCCGTTGTCTTCCAAAAGGTATTGATACCGATCTTACCGAGGATGTCACTGGGAGCTTGGCTCGGGTCTAGATCGTTACAACTTCAGACACCACAGTCGTGTCAGATAAGGCATGGAGAATTTTATCATTCAACATCAAACGACCGTATAGCAATCAGAGAGCGCATCAGGTGACGAACAGAAATTGGTTGATCACTTTAGTGGTGCACGTCGTTCTACTGACTACCCAGTTTGGTGAACAATTTTCATCATAGGCCATTGAAACTCCTGTGGTTCGATCGAATTGAGACTTTTGATCTCATTGATATCCCAGGTAGTCAGATTTGAGCGAATATTCGGCTTCAAACATAGCAGTCATCGAAAACCATAGCTATCGAGAGAAATATGGATTGCTTCTTTGTGATGGTCTGGGTAAGCGCACGAAATCACATACTTCATTATTTCTAGTAGATTACACTATCCCAGTACTTTATGTCATACACCCAATAACTTACGCAGCAATACCAGTTGTTGCCCACGAACTGGTTGCTTAGTAACAAGTATTTTGTCCGTCTTCCTAACTTCTCAGCGTCAATCGAGTTACTCAAAAAGTCATATGGGCGAGTTCGGATCTGCACTGATTTCCCGACGACTGTGAATACAGCAGTCTACTTCCATCGACACTGTCCATTCCAGCTGATTTGTTTGGGAGTTTAATGTTCTGCGCAGTTTTCTCTATCAGACATTTAGCTGCAGATCGTAGTCCATTAAACTCCAAAAGAGTTGCTCATCTAACATACACCGAACACCCTCGTCAGTACAATTAAACTTGGTGTTCCCGCTAACCATTTTCGGTAAAGCATGGATGTAGTGTTGACAGGACCAGTAGAGCTGCTTAGTTTTCGGACGACATTTTTGTTGCCGGTGTTGCTGCCGACAACCTCCTCGACAAACTGAGTCAGGCTTTTTGTCATATTCGAAAATACGGATTCGGAGATACCCACGGAGATACACATTCTTTATGAATTGATCAGGTTAATCAGTACTACTGGTGACAAAAGTTCCTGGCCTCAATGATCATCGAGGTCATTAAGATGTCTCTTCCTAAAGGCATTTCCATGCTTATATCATTCTTTGGATTCATCAATCACACTGCAATCCATTTGAACTTTGGTGCATCACTCACACTGTTTGTTTAACGTGCTGTTGGTCAAGCATCTGCGCTGTTATCAATCAGAAAGCTACCCAAGCTTATTTAAAGGAATTAAAATAATTCCATGTCCTGGCCTCGTGTCGACAATATTACGACCGAACCCCGAGCACGCATTCATCAGCATTGCTGCCTCTTAACTTTATAGGTCGATATGCCTGATTGATCCGAAGATTGCTAGCCATTGTTTATGGTCTTTGAGAACCTCATGCTTCCTTTCACTAAGAATTTGGTAGCACTTTTATTGCCAATGCAACCGCTAAAGTCTCAATTCTCTCCGGCATTATTTTCATTTCTATAGTGCCAATGATATGACCTTGTTGGCAGTCGTCCCTGCGAGCAGCAAGTACCCAGGTTCCCTGTTCCCAACTGACTGCGATTCGTAGGTGATATCGTTTAGCTCAAAACATGGACGGTTCTTCCACAGCGCTTGTTGGCTCTTATATGACAGGGATGACTATGAACAATATCGAATTTAACAGCACCTCTGTGCACTATACGGTATTCAGTTGAACGACAAACTGCACCACGGATATGTCATCATCGTCCTTTAGGAACACTAAAGAAAGCTCTTCGGCCCCATATTCTTCGTTTTGCTCCAGCCTAGCCAGTTCGCATTCCATCTCTTCGATGCTCCTGGTCTTGGCTTCAACTACTCAGATTCGTTCGTTCGCTAAACAATTGCCACACAACACGCTTGTTGAATTGCTCTTCGAAGCGTTTCGCCTGATACACATCTCGATATATCTGAGAAAGGGCAAAGTTTTCGTCTTCGAGCAGGCTCTTCACTATTCCAGGGAGTTTCTGGACGTGTGTTCTGAATCCGTTGGGACTGTAACCAATGACTTCAATAGCACTCATCCTTTCTACTATCCGTCTCTATTTACCAACACTCCCGATCGCTCTGGATACCCTTTGCCGGGAGCCTCTTCATTGTTTTGTAGACGATAAGGCTGATTACCTTTGCTTTCATCAGACCTATAGCGGTTCTCGAAACACATGCTTCCTGATGGCATTTCATGACAGAGTAGCAAGCTGCTTAAACCACCTTCATTCTGGTATAGTGAAGTCCATCCAAGTCGACATGCGACTCACTAATCTTGTTCATCAGTGCTTGTTGACATCCTAACCCGGATCATTGGTTTTGGTAATTGCTAGTCGGTTTCACTGTATTTCGATGCGAATTAAAATAACAGTAGCGCGTTACCACACGCTCTGAATCTGGCGTTGATTCGCGCCACCGGTGACTATTAATCTACGACTAGATGATCTTCAGAGTGACGTGCCTTTTGGTGGTCACTGAAGGATGCGATGCGAGTGTTTACCTGGACGTTCTGTTACTCAAATTTTAAGGCTTTCTCAAAACAGTTGAAGTATTCGATCGGCACACTCTATGTGGCAAACATGCCTTTTTGAGCCACCCATCAATCGTTTGTTTGTTTGTGTGCTACCTTCAGTGGTGGTTTCGCAGTGCCCGCACTTCTGTTTCTGATGTTTCGAAGTATGTATATTTCTTTGACGACCTATCATCATCAACCAGCTGTTCATTCGTAATGGTCATGTCGCTGCAAAGGCGTTTTTGTTGTTTACACCTGTCAAATGTTGTTCTCTTTAGAACACGGCTACGCCTCCGCACTTACTCAACTAAAGTCACTGCTGCATGCTTCACTTGCCACCATTGTTAGTTCAACTAATGGTCGATCTATCTGAATTCAGCCGGTCAGGTCGCTGCAGTCATTTCGCTCTTTGGGTATAGTCCCTAAATCCATGGATACACCGCGATACTGTTCGAGGTACTTTTCTCCTTCGCCCAACACATTAACACCGGTTCAATGCACCAGTCATATGACCTAAACTACTCCAAGTTGATGGATAAAAGACTAGATCGTGGATATGACCATTTAGTATTGATACAACGAGATCAAGAGTCAACATGTGTCCCGTAATGACTGAGTTATATATATATATATATATATATATATATATATATATATATATATATATATATATATATATTAATGGTTAACTCACTGATGATTGGCTGGGCAGTGGCGCAGTCTGATTGGACCGGGGGGGATAGCTGGGATCGGTTCATGTGCAGCCTTTGGGTTAGGCTTCCGTATATGACAACCAGCATTTCCTGTACGCAGGGTCTTGTGTTCATCTGTGCAGTGTATGTGATTATCTATTCCGGATTGAATTTACTCGGCTTACCCACCTTTTTAGCGTTGATATTTTGCTTCTTGGCATTGACAGTTTCACCTCTTCCCCTAACCATCTGCTCAACCTCGTGCGCTTTCAGCAAGGAACACATCGCGAACTGGTAGGTAAACGGGGCGTCTACTATGAACTGGTGCAACGACAAGAAAGTGGCACGCTACCGCCTGTTTGATTTTACTTCTTTCTGCCTCGTCTTCTGTTTTGTATACTTATTCTCCCACATTTGTACGATTTTTTTCGACCATTTAATGGATATAATATTGTTACATTGAGCAGTCTGCTGTCATGTATTCGCGCTATGAATATACGGTTTATTCAGATACTGTGCCTGGAAGAAGACTCTCTCTGTGTATGTCACCAGCTTTCTAAGGACATCATGCCTCAGGATGTTGCATTTTGACTCTGATAGACTTTTGAAGCTTAGCCGCACACATGCGGCCAATCAAGCGAGTTTCCCTATGCATGTCAACTGAACGAATTTTCGACACCGGAGTCCCGAATTATGTGACCACCGTACATTAGATCCCCAGGTCGGGTAATCCTAGATTCATCGTCACACTACCGTTTTGTATGGCTATTTCGCGGAAATTGTCCACATAATTAGTAGGATGGTGTTAGCTCAAAACGAGCGGCGTCATTTAATCCATCCAACATGGAATGCAGCCGTTGGAACACCTAGGACCCTTAATTCGAACGGAAGCTTACTTTCATCATTAACCTGTCCCTCAAGATCTAAGTTTCTTGCCGATTAACATAAAGAGGAAACATTCGAATTGGCTATGAAACAGACGGAGGGAAAGTGCTTGTTATAGCTCCGACGACTGGATTTTACAGCGAAATTAAACTTCTTCGTCACGTATTCTGGGCGATCGTTTTACTCGAGGGTCACATTGTCTGACTTTGCACAACACTCTTGGTCTGAAGATCACGTGACCAATGAATACCTAATCTCATGTGGTTACAGCAAATAGAAGTTAAATATGTGCAACTCCGACGAACTATAATCAGAAGTACTTAATCAGACCACTTGTTTCTTCAGGCCCTCTTGTGCTATTGTAAGCATGTTTGACTCACCGTAATGTTGGGCTCGCAAATGTGAGATGTTGTTATGACTGGGCCATCTCTCTCCGATACTAAGGGTAAATTCAGCAACGTCTTGGACTGCTGTACGGTTTTGGTCTCCACTACATGCTCCGGTAGGCTGTACAGAATATTGACCCCTACGTTCGAAGCACAGGGCGTCAAGAACTCTCCAGATCTGGAAGCACAAGCTTGCACTGGTGTTGGCAGTGTTCACGTGCTGAGTATCAGCCTCAGCATGGGTAACTCATCGAGATTTAAAATATGGGGGTCCTGATGAGATCAACTCACATTCCACGGTGGCACAGAGCACACAGTTCGAGTTTCTCGCATCGGTCTTTGTACAGTAAATCCTGTAGACTGAGGATGCGCTTGGTAGTGACGTTTTGGACCCTTCCGGTTTTCTTCACCTCGCCTCCGGTGATCAGACAGTAGTCAGCTGAGCCGTACTCTAGCATTTATCTTATGGTCGAGCAAGATGCGTTTGTGTGCGCAAAAATATATTAAGACATAGCCTGTTCTTATTGTCCACGAACTCCAAATCACAGCATGAAAGTACCACTGGGTCCTTCACAGAAAGATGTAACGGTTGGCTTTCAATGGTGCAAGTTGCACCATTATCCTTACCCTTGTCTAAGAATGCCGATTTGGATGGATTGGGCGGGAGGTGGTATTCTGCAGACCGTAGACAGACCGCCCATCACTTATTTTCATCTGTTACGAGCAAGAATCATCAATTTCCTCTCAATCTCCTTCCACGAAATAAGTTGTAGTCTTGATCTGCTGATTCTCTTCCATGGGCTTGTCCGGTAAGGGTGACTGCGAGCACACTTTGAACCTGCCACCCAGTTTAGTTCAGTGGACCGTGGAATTACCATTTACTATGGTGCCGTTTTGGAACGTGGTCTGTACCACATCAATGACAGCCCTTCGCAAATGAGTGGGCCATTACTCTGAACACAAATTGCGAATGGCACATGTTGCTACATCATTACTGGATTGCTTATGACGCTTCGATACATGCAATCTCTTCGTGTGTACCTGTACAGGTCTTGATCAGGCGCCTAACTTCAAGTTAACTTTACATTACTTAATCCTGCTGCCTACCAGGTAGCAATTTCATTATTTAGTATGCTGGATTTCATTGGCGAATGGGATTCGTGAGTCGAATGCAGTGTTTAGCTGCTTCTAATGCGCCACACTGTCTTCGAATCTTCTCGTTCATTTGACTTGCGGAGTCCTCACAGTTAGTGGACAACTGAAGGCTCCATTGGTTTATTCGAATCACTTGAGATGGTTCCGCAATGTAATCAATCTCCGAATCTTCATTTTTCATGAGGTAACGTGTGGCTAGTGGTCTCAACGCGAATTGGTGGCAGGGTGTCGTGGGATGAAGACCGGTTCCCTTGAGAACGGTCAGGTATTGTTCAAACCCACCTGATGTTCATGTCTGATAAGGTCCTGCATAATCATTCCGTTATCAAACCAGGGTTTCCATTTCTGCCGTTAGCCGATCCGCTTGCTGGCTCTCCACAAAGTTCTACGTGTCACTGATCGCCGCGTATTCGTTGGTAGTGAAGCCATCGCAGTTGCTCGAAAGATCTATTGGAAGCGCGCTTATGGTATAAATTTGCAACTGAAATTGGAGCACCTTTAACTCATCATAGTATGTATGCACTGATTTTTCGGGCGCACTTTAACTTTTGCTGCTTTTATTCCCTGATTACTCAACGGATGGCACTTGTCATTTTACCTACTTTTATTGTGACCTATAGGTGCTCGAATAGTTGGCAGTCTTCGAATACAAAGTCTGTAAGCATTCCATTGCGTGATGGCTTTCTCTGCTACGCTCCGACGCGTTGCTCATTCATCCCACTAAGTATTTTTGACTAGCTGTGGTGGTGCGTTTACAGTTGAATCATCCGGTGATGTGAGCACCAACTTGTGCATACAATATGCTCCATTCGGAATCTCTTGATGCTGCCCTCTTTTCCCACTTTATTTCGCGAATGACTCCTCAACCAGAGGCGGTTCTCAATTCGGTTAAGGCAGTGAGTTTCTGTATGGGTCGCTACATTCCTTCCTGCCGTCGTCATTGCACACAAATAGGTCGCTTGGGTTCATTTCTCTAATGGCCGATTCACAATGCACCTCAATACACTGCTCTCCGCTTTACAACTGTATTTCATCACCTGAATTGCATCCCTGCTTAATCCATATATCGCTGGCTGCACCTTTTCCTACTTATGGAATAACCGAGCCACAGCATCTGACCATACATAATGGTCCCGAGGTGTTTTCGACATTCTTACCCTTTGATCGCACCGGCGGTTAAAATGTGCGCGGGTGGTCGTTAAAAAAGCGTCTACCAAGCGCACTGATACCGACAAAGCGCCATGTTCGTTTGCGCGGACGCCGCCTTCCACCGTGTGTTTAATTTGCTCTATTGTAATGTACTTCATAGTCGCTAAATGTCCTCCAGGCATTAGTTACGACTGCGTACTACTTTTCAACCAGTTGACTCTACACGAAAGCCCTTTAGTGGTTGCTTTACGATACCTCAAACAATCAATAGGTTACACACAAAAATGTGTTGTTTTCTCTCAGGTGAATCGAACTCGCGTATTTGTCTACTGTGTTCTGCTTGCGATACGTAATCTAAGCTCGAGACTGCCTCGCTCAAGCAGACATCTGTCCTTATGAAGAAGCTTTTGGCCGGCAAGCTTGAAATTTCTTGCTTGATCCACAACACTGACTGCCTCCGACTGAGTTGCTCAAAAATACGAGGCCGCTCGTTGAGTGTAATGTTGGGAATGGGCATTGATCAAATGCAGGGTAGACAGATGCACTGGGCTTTCGTGCTGCTCTTTTACCTGAGTCGTGTTCAAAAGCAACGAAATCACCCCCTTTATTTATTTTGAGGTGGCTCTTGCGTGGGTGGATTGTGACAGGCGGCATTGATTAGGTCCACGATTCACTAAAATGTATCTCAGTCAGCAACATGACGTCGGTGCTAATCCTTCTCTTTATAGCGTCTTCATTCATACATAACGTTAATCTCTATGGCTACCGAAAGTTGACCTTAAGGTTATCTCGCGTTCTTTCGACTAAGTTTCTTATTTTCATTGTCCCTTCGGTGAGATCTGGGTATCAGAGTCACGAGCCCAGAACGCGTATCTTATAGTCTGCTAAGCAGTATGATGTGATAACTTCGCACACAGTTCCCCTCCTCCGATTTCTTGTCACTAATGTTTATGTTCGTTCGGCTTCTGCATATCTGAAGCTGTATTTCATTGGTATAGAGCTGAACTGAACGGTGTTGCCTCGTAGTCCCTACCCTTAATCGGACGTTTCGAGTCACTCTGGTACTAGTAACGACAGTTAGCGTTAGAGTACATAACCTCGGAATCTTGTTTCTCAACCATAAAGAAATGATTTTCTGCAAAAGTTGGATCGAATTAGCCAAGTTGTCTTTTTGGTTGTTTGCATCTTTATCTACCTCTTCCGATGGGCCGTTTTTGGTGGTGGGGCGTGTAAACCTTTTGTATCTGCGGCATAGGGTGCGGACGTGATAAGTGGTGCCCTGGCACTTCTTCAGAACTGCCTGAATAAACAAATGTTGCCTACCATGTAGAAGCATAGTTTAGTTAGTCCAATCTTTAAAGACGGCAGTCGTTTGGAATTCATAGATCGTCGTTCAGTGTTCTCTATTCCTGTGCTCTATGTGGTTTCAGCCAGGGGTGACCTATTGACTATCTTAAGTTTGAAATTTTTTCAGAATTTGAGTATCAAATCGGTATTGTAGGTGTATCAGATGTCCCAACATGTGCGTGACGCATTTAGGCTATATGATGATAGCACTGAGCCTTGAAGTCTCCTGGTATGCGTAGTGAGAGGATTGTAGGGTTCTTACTGATTCGGATTCAGTGCACAGACCAGTGTTTTCAAATTATCCGGTGCAGTGTGCTTATGCTTTTGCACATAAGTTGTAGCTTCATGATCCAAAGAAGTGATTCGGGACTGGCCTAATAAGCAAATGACATTCGTTGCCATAAAGCTCTTACTGACACTGGTCAATTGGCCCGACTATCC